TACAAACCTTTTTTCGACACCTTCTATAATTGTAAAATAAAAAGTATTTTTTAAAAAAATTAAGTCTTCATATATATTTAGACGAACTATTATAGTTAGTGTAGCACTGATGTGCTTTCAACCATTTATAATTTCAGGCAAATGACAAGTTGTAAGTGGAATGAATGGGTCAAAATATTATGTGGACTTAAATTTTTTTTTATTACTTCCAGATTGCCCTCCAATAAGGTGAAACAATTCACTTAGCTATCAGCCATTTGGAAAGGGGCCTGTTTTCCTCACCAAAAATGGCTATCATAAACCTTTTGACTATCACTATAACCTTACAAATTGGAATTATTGACTTAACCTCTGAACTCATATATATTGTACTTCTTTTCTTCCCCTTCCTTCCTTAATCCGGTGTCTCTCATCTTGCTATGTACCCAATTTGTTAAAATTCTTGTCTTCTGGAGTTCATTATATCTTACATAGAAAGACCTCTACCCCAAAATTACTCAAGTAGGTTGTCTTTAATCCAAATGAATTTTTGTGCATTAGAGTTAACCTAAGAATCTGCCTTCCTTGTGTGACTAGCCTGTCTCCAAATCATATACCAGCTTATATTTTACCTGAATTAAATCAACATTTTTATAAGGTACTATTTATCGAGGTATTATGAGATTGTTCCTTTAATTTTTCATTATCTAACTATAATGTTACTGTGGTTTGTAGCATTTCTAGTAAGAAAACAAGTCAAATTTTCGTCATTGTTCTATTTTATGTAAGTAGTATCTTACTACTTATTTCGCATATGGATTTCTTAATCAGCTTAAATAGCTCACATACCTATCCATTTCCTCCTTTCCTCTAATAGAACCCTGTCATTCAGACAAATCATGACCATATACAAACTAATACAATTCACACCCTTCTTTCTAGTTGTGTTCATGTGTGTTTCAAGCAATGGGATTATATAGCTATGTAGGCGCAATTCTGGGAACTGCTCAAGTGAAGGGGTTACTTTCTTTTCTCTCTTGCCTTTTACTGAAGTGTAGGCTGGATAACTGAAGATTAGCAGTTATGAAGATGACAAATCGGGTTGTCTGTCTCCACATCTGCATTGCTCACCTTAACTTTTACATGAGAAGAAAATTGTTTAACTACTGTACTATTTTCACTCACAGCCAATTCTAAGTAACAAAATCCCACTGGAATTGTAATTTAATGAATTGTTTTAAAAATTGATATAATACTGGGTTTTGTAAACAAGAATGCTTACTTCTTTGGTAATTTTATGCCATTCATTAAAATGTAGTTACGCTCATATGGATTTTAGTCTTAGGTAATAGAGTTCGGACTTTTAATGCAAGTAGAATTAAAATCAAACTCTCTATTGAATTCTAAACTCAAGATATTTTCTCCTAACTTTAAAAACTATCTTCCGGTATCCAAAAGTTCAGATGACAAGATTGAATTAATCTTATCCTTTCCCCTTATAGGTTAACTGTATGAGATTTTTCTCTTTCTCCTGAGATTACAGAAATTTACTCAGGATCTTGTTTCCTTTTTCATTTTTGCTTAGTGCCTGGGATTTCTAGTACCGTCATTTTTGTTTCCATTACTTTTTCCTCTATTTTGCTTCTGTTCTCATATTCTGGAGCTCCTATATATAATTCATTCAAAAATACTTATTGAGAATTTACCATGTGCACATAATTGATAGACATCCTATATAACGCTGAATTCTCTGACTTCGAATCTGAGGAAGTTTGACCTGAAATGTATGTAATTCCACTAGATCTTTTAATCCCCATACACTTGAACCCATTTTTTTTAATTCGAGGTATCCCTCAACTCAGTAGTTTTATTCTCAACCATGTTTGTTCAATTCACCTGAAATAGGTATTTTTACTTTCAGCAACTACTTATTTCTAAGTTATTTTTTCAGCAGTTTGCCTTTTATAAACTAGTATAATAAATTGTAATTTCTGGATTGTCTAATATGAGATCTGAGCATTATAAAACCATTATCACATGACTAGTAAGAATAATTAAATTTAATCAACTTTTTTGTACTGCATTTTTCTCCCAGAAATTATTTCTGCTTGTTAAATTTACTTTTACATTACTCTTTTCTTTAAATGTTTATTGCTTCTTGGTTGTCAGTGAACAAAATCTTAGCAGTTAGCAAACTTTTTCTGTAAAGAACATTTAGTCTTTGAATGCCACATATAGCTATCTGCTACGTACTTTTTTCTACTTCCTTTAAAATGTAACATCTATAAAAAATAGGTGGTAGTTTGCCAACGACTGGATTTTTCACTGCTGTCACCTGGAGTTCTGTTAGCATGATATTCCCTGACAGATTCTAATTATAACTTTAGTGAGGAAGGAGGGAGTTGTCAGGAAAATTGGGAAGTGGAGTCACCAAGCTCATTAGCCTGTGTTCTAAATATAAGGAACCAACAGTCCTTGTGGTACCCATGGAACACCTAAAGCATTGCACTTCAATGGCATGTCTACAGTATCTAAAATCAATTTGGCAAACAGCAAGCTGTACAAGCTTTACCTTGGAGGATTTCTATGGGCCTCCATCTCTGAGCTAGTGACTGACCTAATTATTCAGTCCCTTAAAATGTGCTTCTTCACCCCTCCCCTAGCTGCCTCTAAAAATGATTCCTTAATTTTCATGTATCTATTCTTAGTTCTCCTGATTTCATCAATATGGTTTCTTGTAACTTCCAGAAATGCCTCACAGCACCCTTATCTTTTTAATGTGGTTATGATCTTTTATTACTGAAATTTCATCATTTAAGTATCTTCTGTAATCCCAATAGAATTTTAAAAGACAATGCCTTGAATTCAGCATGACATTTTCATCTGGAAATCCCCAAAGTCATCTCTAATACTCATGTAGTTACTAAGCTCCCTGTAGCAGCCTACCACACTCCATGCTGGTTATCTTCAGGTCACCAGATTATCATTCATGATCAAGTCTAACTCATTTTATTCCTAATGTACAAAGTTTATGTTTGTTTTTCTAAACAAAAACAAGTCAGGGAAATTAGGAGAAAAGGGAGAAGCAGCTAGTATGCTCATATCTTTGGAGGCCTCAGATAATGGTAGCACTGACTTACCACTTTTCAGAATCTACCTTCTAGCTTTGCAGACACCCTGATTTTGTGGGAATTCTACTCTTAGGGGACAGGCTGAAACGACCACATTAGTCCTCTCACCACCCCTGCACCTCTGGCCTGTACTCCAGTTCTGTATGCACAAATAAATCTTTATATATTCCAAAATGGAATCTTTAGATGTCATAATACAAACTTATAAAGTACATCTTGGCAACTCCAGGAACCCACTCTGTCTCTTACAGCAAAAATCATCAATTCCAATGTTGTTGGGTCAGCAGTTAAGAAAAGGTGTTGACTAAGATATGAATAAGAATGGGAAAGAAAGCAAGGAACAAAATACACAAAGCCACAAGTGCAACAAAAAGGATTTGGGTGTCATACTGACTAGTATGGGAAGCAAATGAATAATTTCTAGTAGGGGATTGACACGTGAGACTTTGTTATGTGGGAAAACTATTCATAGTATTATTAGTCCATGTTGTTGTTCTAGAAAGGAGTATGCTGGGCTCTCCCTGTGGTACAATGGGTTAAAAAGCAGCACTGAGAGGCCCTCCCTGGTGGTGCAGTGGGTTAAAGCACTGCACTAAGAGGCTTAGGCCACTTCGGCATGAGTTCGATTCCCGCCTGCCCCGGAGGTGACCACATGGCGTGGCAGACCTCTCCTGACTCGCCCGCTGCTCCCCTCAGCAGTGTACTTCGTTGATCTGCCTGTTCTGTTCCTCACTCTGTCTCTGGTGAATTCTCTCACCCTCGGCATCTCTGGCCTGTACCCCAGTTCTGTATGAATAAATAAATAAATCTTTAAAAAAAAAAAAAAAGCAGCACTGAGAAGCTTAGCATAGCCGCTTCAGCTTGAACTTTAGTGTGAGTTCGAGACCCAGCCCAGGGGGTGACCCACATGGTACAGCAGGCCTCTCTTGTTTAGCCCTCTGCACCCCTCAGCAGTTTTACTTTGTTGATCTGCCTGGTTTGCTCCCCACTCCAATGAATCCTCTCACTGCCCCTGCATCTCTGGCCTGTATCCCAGTTCTGTAGGCATAAATAAAACTTTTTTAAAAATGAGTATGTTAATGGAAGAAAAAAAAACAAAGCCCAGTTACCTGACTTCAAAGGTCTTTTACAGGTCATTCTAATGCTTTCATAAAATATCTGTGAAAATACTCACACCTTACCTTTCTATTAAAGGGCAGAGGCTCTCAATTTGATACCAAAGAGTTGTGGGCAACAAAAAATTTCAGGGCCCTATCAATGTTCTCAAAATGCTATCACTGTCCATTAACATCATACCAAAGAACAAGACCTACTAAATAAATCTGGGGTAAAGGTCCCAAATCCCCACTTGACCAAAATTTTAATGACACTAACTAACCAGAGGGACAAAGATTCAGTCAAGGAGAACTGACAAATACAGCTTACTAAAAGAGTAAAAGTCCGCTGAAAACCAACAGGTCTGAAGACTGGTACAATATAAAGAAGGAAAGCTATCATTAGGCAGCACTGGTTGCTGTAAGAGTTCTAATTGTACAGGTGCAAGGAAGCAGGAGACTAGCACTGTTTCAACTTTTAGAAGGTTATACTTCTATATGGAAAACTGAGTCTAGAAGGGTAAGAATCAAAAGCAAGATTAGCAAGATATTACAGTAGTCCGAAAAGTGATGATGATGATGATTTGAACTGAATTAGTAGCAGTGGAGGTGGAAGAATGAACATATAAAATTTTGAAGTAGAAAACATACTTTCCAATATATTGGATGTAGGGGGTGATAAAATAGGATAGCTCTAAGTATCTGTTTTATAGAATTGTGTAGGTTGTAAATAAATTTCTCTGATTATTAGAACTATGTAATTAGCTTTTTAATAAAGAAAACAAATAATGTTTGGATAACAGAGGCTGAAGTTATTAAATCTCATATAACTCCTTATTACAAAAGTATTTAAAATATAAAATACTAACACATGACAGAAATTAATCTCCCTACAAACTGAACTATCTACAAATAATCCAGTAGGATATACATAAATTTGAATTTCTGAATCAAGCACATTAACAAAATACTTTATTAATACCTTGCAAATAAGCTAGTCTGAATAAATATTCTTACATGTTTCTCACAAAAGTTACTACTTAGATTTCTTTCCTATCTCTCATTCTAAAACATTTACGTAGAAGTTGTTACACAGGATTTTTGTTATACAGAATTCTTCCGAAAAGTTTCACATCTCGATCAAATTAGCAAACACACTCTTTAAAAACAAACAAAAATATACCCCCCTACATAATTAAACCAAAAGAACCCATTAGTTCTAACCCAGAGGTATTCTTTTACCTCAGTTCTTCCACGAAGAACTCTTTTAAAATAAGAGAAACAAGAGTTGATCAATCCTACTACCCTTAAAGTTTGAACTAGTTAAGCAATGAGACTTTCTGAAGTCTTTTTAATATAGGATCTTGGGGTTTGAATTTCTTGTCTTCAACTAATCTTCAGTTATTTTGCTTCATATCCTAACAAGTAGATATAAATACCTAATAAATTCTCCCAGCTAAAAGATAGATAGCAAACCTAGTCTACAACAATAAGCTGTTATTGGCCAAAATAAACCAATTTTTAGGAGTTTTACTGCATGCAGAGAGAAATATTCTGTAAAATTCCACAAATGCTCATACATACATCTACTTAATGCCTTAAAAATAATATTCCAATATTCATTTGCTGTCTCAAAATTTTGAGAATTTCACTGAATGAGTCCCCTCTCTTGAAAGAGGCCAGAGTAAAAACTTGAATAACTATTTTCAATAACGTATATGGTTATTTGAAAATAGATCATGTATCTCCTCCTCTTTCTGAATAGATAAGCATATGAGTCAAAAAAATTAAAGGTGAGAGTATTATGTGAGAAACTTAAAAAAAAGTTGTTTGTTTCTTGGTTCTTCAACCAAAAATGGTCATGACAATATAACTAATACAACTATGAAAAATTATTTATATTCAAATGTATTTTCAAGAAGATTTCAAGTTGACACAGGCACAGAGATAAATGGAAAAAAAAAAAAAAACAAGTATAAACAGGTCAGGTTTGACTGACCTCTATTTGAAATGTTAAAAAAATATTTTAGTCAAACTTTTTAAAAATATGAGAGATAATTTTTTAATTCAAGTCTTCTCAATTATCTTGAAATACTTGTGAGCTGAACTCATACATTAAGGCAAATCCTAATTTTAAATGCTCATTTAATTGAGGAACTCTGATTTAAAATTGCTAATCCAGGGAGAAAGTTTTTTGTACAAAACATTTTATTGCTACAAAGGGAAACATGGTCACAAAAAGCCTTTAAGCGTATCTCAACGCAAATTACTAGTCAATGTCCAATGCAGTAAAAAAATACACAGCACAAAATACTTGCCCAATTTCTCTCTCTAGGGTAAGTATTCAAAACATTAATGCACACTTGAATATATACTCCCAAGAGCAGCATTTAAGTTTAAATGATTAGGGTATACTAACAATACACACCTGTCATCCTTAACACCAATAAAGTAATAAAAATTAAATCTAAAAATTATACAAACAATTTACTGAATCTAAGTTTGGTAACTATAAAAACTAAACTAAAATAGCCTTACCTTCATTTTATTAAACAAATGCAAACATTTAAAAATTATATAAAATAAAATTCAATGTGTGGAATGCATGCAACATGGGTGTTAGCTCTCATATTTAAACTATTGAAATTCTTACCCTTTTCCACATTAGGACAGAAATTTAAAGCTTCTTTTAAATCTAATACCTTACATTTAATTTTCTTCAGGTTGGTCAACAGGGGGACTCACAGTTTCCTCCTTTGATTCTTCTTGCCCTACTTCCTCCACTTGTCCTCCCGCCTCCTCTCCACCTCCTACTTCACTTTCCTCCACTGGTATGTCCTCCCCACCCACCGCTGTGCTGCCCTCGCCCTCTACTTCCTCTTCTCCTCCACCTTCCCCCACTTCTTCTACTTCTTCCACTTCCTCTGCTTCTCCTGCTTCCTCTGCTGCTTCCTCTGCTGCTTCCTCTGCTGCTTCCTCTGCTGCTTCCTCGCCTGCTTCCTCTTCTTCTTCCTCTTCTTCCTCCTCTTCTTCTTCAACAGGCTCATCAATCTTTTCTTCCTCCTCCTCATCTCCTTCTATTTGTTGATCTTGAGAATGATCTTGAATTTCAAAAGGATTTTCACCCTAAAAACATCAAGAAAAAGATCTTAAAATCAGCACATTCATGTTTACAACACTGAAATTTGTTAACTCATTAAAAATAAAAACTATATGAAATTTTTTGTCAAGTAGTTGTTGAGTATCTATTTCATGCCAATGTGGACATATAAATTATTTAAGCCATTACTTTATACATCAGAAACCAAAATGCCTAAAGATCCCTCTTAACTGAATTGCTAAAGTCACACAACTATACAAAGGCAACTAAGTAGAGTTTGGTGGAAGCAAAGTATAAGAAACAAAGATTAATATTCACTTAAATATACCACTATTCAATGTATTACTGTGCAGAAAATTTAAACACAAGTGAAAATTGCATACTTTTAAAAAGTCAAGTGAATATCTATACTTATTAAATATCATGTCTTAAGATTGAAAATCTATACAAATTCTTAATTCAGTAAGTATTCAGATACAGTTTTCTTCTACTATTTTATTTAAATATCTAATTATACATCTAGATTAAGTCTCATAAACTGGACCATATTAGAAGGCCATACTAATACATTAGAAGAGACAGTAAGCATTATTAATTAAGAAAATAAAAGACTGGTACCACCCTTTAATCAGGTTAGGTATGCGTACGATAAACTGAAGTAACGAGAAGGAATACAAGTCAAGGTATTAGTCTAGTAGACTAAGGAAGCAAAGTATAAATGATGTAGCGGCACCACTAACAGAATAGGTAAATTAGAATGGGGAAGCAGCAGGTGCACTGTATGTATAATTGGAATGTAAGATACCTGTCTAAATATGCAGCTATAAATATGCCACTCAAAAAAGAGAGTCCAAAGTAAACATTAACACTTGTGAATTACTTGTACTGAGCAAATACTGAAGCCAGCTGATTACATGGGAGAAAGCCAGGTTGAGGCTATGGAAATAAATACAAATAGGACTGAGACTAAAATTCTGTGAAAATGAGTTAGGAAAAACACACAGAGGAGGAGATCCAGGATAGTGAAATATCTGGCAAAACAAAGCTACAAGGAAGTAATAGATGAACAGTGTCAACTGATACAAACAGGTAACAGTGGAAAAGAATTTTAAAAATCACTAGAGTTAAACATTATTAAAGGTAAGTGAGACTATGAGAGGGATTTATTACACTATCTCCTTTAACCTTTGTATATTTAAAACAAGCAAAATGCTTTTAAAAATTTGTTATGAAAATCTTAGAGCAATTTCAAAAATGAAAGTTAGATAGCAATGACCGCTCAAGTACAGGAACTCTTGCTAAAAACACAAATTTCTGATTCAATTTCAGAGCATCTGATCAAAATTTCCAGAGAAGTCTGGCAAACTACCCATTTACGAAGTATTTCAGGAGGTATGATCTATCACAGATGTCTGGAAGACTAATTCAGAAGGTCTTAAGTAGCTGTGTTTTTAGGCTGAGTTGGTTTTAATTACGTATTAATACCTCCCATTGAGAACTATGAAAGAGTGAATAATGTAAGGTAGTTACTATAAAGCAAATGCAGAGAAAACTCCCCTTTTTCAAATATGTGGTACACAGAACAGATAGAATAGGGAGGGCCAATGTCTAGGAAAAGTAAAGTGATTTTTAATTTAAGGAACTCAGAAGCTTGTCTTGGGAAATAGAAAAATAAAAGACAAGAAAAAAATCGGATGCTAATAAGGAAAAACCACAAACGAAAGGCAAAAGGGAGCATATTCCTTTTCTTATGGTGTGGGAAAGATACATTAATCTAACAGAAAAGATGAAAACAAATTCACATGGTATTGATGGGAACAGAGGTGAAATCTGCATATGTGAAGAATATAGTCTGAAATAATCTTTACAGGAAGCACATTACATAAGAAGTAAAATTACTAAAAATCCAGCAAACATTGTACTGATACAATTCCATTAAATTTTAGTAAGACAGACAGTTAATAAAGCTAATCATAGAGGGTACAGTGCTGGGAAGCAGGAAGTAGTACTAGAACAGTAAGCAGGTGTTTAAGAATGGCAACATTACATTGTTGTTTGACCTATATTCAAAATACTAACATTTTTACTAATGTACTATATCTAAACATCACATTTACTATATTATTGCTCAATTATTATAATATTATAATATAACCTACAAAGTTTTTGCACTAAAACCTTACCTTAATAAAGCGTTCATATCGTGCCTTCACTATTGGATTATTTAAAATGCTTGTAGCAGTCAAGACACTCTCTCTTTTGATTTGTTCCTTATAAGCCTATGACAAACACACAGAGATACTGAAAACCACATCAAAAAATATTTATAGTATATTGTATGCTGAAATCCTTAAATAATTTATCTGTGGCATACTAAGTTGTAAAAATTAACCTTCTATGGATTAAACAAGGAAGGGTCAATAAATTGATCAGCTTCAACAAAAAAAACATTCAGTCATCAAAACACCAACTAGTGGAAGTCAAGGTGCACTGAACAGTTGCTTTCTCCTTTCTATCTCTCCCTGCCTCAACTACTACAGCTGTTAATTTGCACTCCATTAAAAAAAAAAAAGAATTATGTTCCATTATTCTAGAGCAGTCAGTTTTCCTTTGACCTATGGTTATGACAAGATTGTATGATACTGGGCTTTCAGAAAAGTCATGACGTATTTTTTCTATTTTCAAACAAAAATGGGTCATGACTTTTCCCACAACCCAATACAAAGGAGATAAGGCAATAATATAAAATGCCTAGTTGCCAAAAAAAGTATTAAGGGACTATAAAAATAGGAGATGGAGGGCCCTCCTTGGTGGCGCAGTGAGTTAAGCACAGCACTAACAAGCTAAAGGCACTTCAGCATGAGTTCGCTCCCCACCCCGGAGGTGATCCATGTGGCGGAGGTTAATTCACATGTGGCCAGGCAAACCTCTCCAGACCTGCCCGCTGCTCCCTAGCAGTGTACTTTATTGATCGGCCTGTTCTGCTCCCCACTCTGCCTCTGGTGAATCCTCTCACTTCACTTGTGCCTCTGGCCTGTACCCCTGTTCTACATACATAAATAAATCTTAAAAAAAAAAAACAAAACAGGAGATGGAAAGATATTTTTTAAAGAGTATGTATGCTGAAAGATGCTAAGAAAGCTGAGTTAAATGAGGTTCATGTATGCCCTCCCAGGTGGCGCAGTGTGTGAAAGCACAGCACTGCAACTGAGCCACAGCCTCTTCAGTGTGCGTTCGATGCCCAGCCCCGGAGATGATCCTAGTGGCACAGCAGACTTCTCCTGTCTCGCCCACTACTCCCCTCTCAGTAGTGTACTTCAGCAATCTGCCTGTCCTGCTCCCCATTCTGTCTTTGGTGAATCCTCTCACTATCCCTGCACCTCTCGCCTGTATCTCAGTTCTATATGCATAAATAAGTATTTAAAAAATTGAAGTTCATGTCAATATAAATGTGAAATTAAGACTCAACCTAATATTACTTAAAACTTAATCTTTAATATTAGTTAAAATTTTCTCTTCAAAAAAGTTTCCCATAATCAAGTTTTCCACTTGAAATAAATGATTAAATAGAACCAACCAATAAAGCAGTAGAAATAATCAAGAAGAAAACAGTAATTTTTCCAAAAAGTTTTGGTAAATTTTACTAAACTATATAGCAATAGTTAACTGATTATAATCCTAGTTTATTTCTCCCAACCAATAGAAAAACATGTCATACTCAAACGTTTACCCTACTATTGTTCTAAAACACGAGCATACATTCACAAACTCATAAGACCATTTTGCATGAACTCTAAAAAATATTAAAAAAGGAATAGTTCAGGCCCTCCCTGGTGGAGCAGCGGGTTAAAGCACAGCACTAAGAAGCTAAAGCCACTTCAGCATGAGTTCAATCCCCGCCTGCCCGGGAGGTGACCACATGGTGCGGCAGACCTCTCCTGACCCACCCGCTGCTCCCATCAGCAGTGTACTTCGTCGATCTGCCTGTTCTGCCCCCCACTCTGTCTCTGGTGACTCCTCTCAACCTCCGCATCTCTGGCCTGTACCCAGTTCTGTGTGAATAAATAAATCTTAAAAAAAGGAATAGTTCAAAGGCCGTCCCAGGCAAGACAAGAGGCTAAAGTGCAGCACTACGAGGCTGTTCCCAGTCATTGCAGCTCAAGTTTGATCCCAGGCCAAGGAGGTGACCCACATGGGGTGGCAGACCTCTCCTCATCTGCCCACTGCTCCCCTCAGCTGTAGATCCGTTCCCTACTGACTCTAGTGAATCCTCTCAGCTCCTGCACCTCTGGCCTGGAACCCCAGTTCTTGTATGCATAAATAACAAATAAATCTCTAAAAAGAAATAGTTTGACAACAGTTGTGATTTCCTAGATGCTTACTATGTGCCATTATTTTACGTGCATTTGTTTCCATTGAATTCTTAAACAATTACATAAGAGTAGAATAATCCATCCCATTTTACAGATAAGGACAATGACAAAGAATAGCTAATTTACTAACTTAACACATATTAAGAACCGAGCCAGAATTTATCTTGCTCCAGAGTCTATGTCTTTTAAACACTATGATACTTAGTATACCTCTGAAATTATCTTTACAGTTATCCATGCAAGAGATTAATAGATGTACACAAGTAAGCAGAAGTGAAATAACAACTTTAGGACAATAAAGGATTGGTGAATAATTCAGTAACTTCACAAAGATCAAAAGGTACCTGCTTCCCTTTGATGTGATCAGGAGATTTTAAATGCTGTTGAACTGAACTGTGTAAAGCAGGGATGTACACACTGCAAGCACTGCAGTGAACAGTCTCTACTTTCATCATGTGGTCATCAGCAGTAACACCTACAGAAAAATTTCACTTACTAATAAGAAAAGCAATGAGTCATAGATTCTTATTTCTAACAAAACTAAGTTTATACTACTTCATTTTCATGTATATTGTAATTTCTTCAAGAAAAAAATGTTGAGGTATTCTATCCTATTTATAGATCTGATTGATTAAAAATACACAGAAAAAAAGATTAAAGTTATAATGAGGTTTCTAAGTCCACCCCCCAGAAATATAGAAGACAAATGTTGATTTTTTTTTTTAGAAAAACAAAAATTCCCCTGGATATGAAAGTGGGCGGCTGAGAATTGGGGAAAAGCTGTCAAAACTGGACTAATAGTATCAATAATATTCTGACATGGGGATTAAAATTTTAATAGAGGTAAAGATTTAAGTATCTGCAAATGAAAGGTCTAAGAAAAATGATGCTTTCTGGGAACTGCAAGTAATTCAGTATGGCTGGGTCACAAAGTATAAAGAAAGGTAGAAGAGGAGAACAGTGAAAAAGAGTAAGGCATAGACCATGGAGAGCTTTGGATGATGTGCCTAGGAACTAAATGTAATCCTGTAGAAGTGGGCATGCCACTGAATATTCTTGAAGTAATGAAATCATGTAGTAAAATTAGATGGAAGAAAGTGAGTTAAAAAAACTAGTTAGGAAAATGTAATTTATCAAGGGAATAGAGTTGAAGAAATGTAATTTAAAGAGGTGGTTAAAAAAGATTTGATAGATATTAAAAAGATAGAACGGATACAACAATGTTATAGTAAAGTCCAATGTTTAGGAATAACAGTTCATATTTGCGGCTTTGATGGGACCATGTTCAAAAATAAATGAAGAAATATGTGTCTTTGAGGCTTTGTTTTGCTGTGTTTACTTTATGGGGTGGGGCTGCTCAAGAAGATACATTTTTTTGGATATGTGGTTCTATATATGTATCACACTAATGTTAGATAAAATTCATTCAAATTCATATTTAAAAAAACACATAAATTCCTAAAATGTTGTTTAAATTCTTACCTTCCATAATATCTTTTTCTATGATTTTTACAACTTCTGTTTGATTATTTGTCTGTTGCTTGCGAATAGATGTTTTCTTAAATTTATTGACCATACATTCCTAGAAAACAAAGAATGCAAAAAGTTTTCATTGAACATTCAGTGAATACTAGACACCATGATCAGTCCACGAAAGATAAAGTATCTGTTGTTTAACAATTACCTATTCACAAAGAATTTATAATTTAACTGAAAAGATTACCACAAAATACAAGGGAAGTACAAAAAGTATTCACTTCGCAAGCTGTATTCTAGAGATACAAAGAAAAGAGGGATTACAGGGAGGTTGTAATAGTCAGGGCAAGTGAGTACTTAAGAACTAAATAACACAGGAACCAGTTAAGGAAAAGACATAATTCTAGCTCTTTCCTTAAGCATCTCTGGTCACAAACTAGTATCCCATGTGCAAACCCTTTCTGCACTATCATTCTTGACCCTTCCACTTAACTGAGCTACCTGCGTCGTCGTGTGTTCTATTTCCAATTAGAGTTAAGTCCTCACTAAATATCACTGGTAGGTTCTTGGAAACTTTTACTTAAAGTAAAATGATATAATAGGAAATCAACTTCATTATAGGCTTAATTAGCATGCAGCCTGGTATGAGAGTTAACTCCCCAAGGCATATTTCTGGTCACAAAAACCACCAAACATCTAAAGAAAGATTCCAAACACTTCTAGTATTAAACAGTAATTAATACTCATTCTTTTTCCAACCCGGTTATTCTTCAGGGTCAAGCCTACTCTGGCAGCTCAGAGCATAGGACCAAAGCAACCTTGGACATGATACCACTCCATCACAGGGAGCACTCAACATACTCTAAGTCAGACTGGGACAAAAATTTAAGACACAAGACATCCCAATGAATAATATGCACATCTCTGGGATGTGGTAGGAAATCCAGAGAAAACCCTCACAGACATTGGGAGAACATGTAATCTCTACAGAATGGTCCTAGCTAGGAATCTTTTTATTTCTCTTCAATGTTGTAAAAGAAAGGCTACTCAAGAGTCAGCTGTATTGTTAGTTCATTAAAGACAGAATCTGTACCTGCAGTGCCTAATAGCATGAAAGTTTTAGAAAAATTGTTGAACATCTAGATGACCACACACTGACAATACAAACTCTAAACAGACATCAGGCTTTGGTGCTCTGACTTCAGAGTGCCACTTACCGACACAGTCACAGAAATGCTCAAAAATATCTTTTATACTATAGGGAACTGTTGAGATTTAAATGAAATAATGAACCCAGCACAGCATCAAATCCACAGCAGACTCTCAAAGGATGCTAGATAATTCTGAATCAATGAACAGTTTATTAAAGGAATTCTTTTTTCTGACACCTCTGCCACAAGCTACTGTGAAAAACATAAAATGTTCTCTCAAAATATTTCAATGGTATTATAGAGGAATCCACATCCAATTCTCGGATAATTTTGAAACAGGACTTCCTTTAAATAAATAGTAAATTAAGTTTTTAGAGACATAAAAATGGGACAAAGATGGGGAATGATGAAAAAACAAGACATTAAAATACCAAAGTGCTTCTCATTTCAAAAACATATACTTACATGCAAAAACTCCATAACTACTTTGTCAAATTTGGTTTGCTTCTGAATGTGATCTAATGTTTCCTGATGAGAAGGACTTTCCAGATGTAGTTCAATATCTTTCTCTTCAAATGTTCGAAATTTACAAAATGAACATGTGAAAGCCATTCTGTAGGAAAAAAAAGTTTTCTTTAAATATTATCTAAGTGGGGCCCTCCCTGGTGGCACAGCGGACTAAAGCACAGCACTAAAAAGCTAAAGCCACTTCAGCATGAGATCAATCCCATCCCCGGGGTGCCTCACATGGCGCGGCAGACCTCTCCTGCCCTGACCGCTGTTCCCCTCAGCAGGGTACTTTGTCCATCTGCCTGTTCTGCTCACCACTCTTGTCTCTGGTGAATCCTCTCACCTCCCCTACACCTCTGGCCTGTACCCCAGTTCTGCATGCATAAATAATCTTTTTTAAAAAATTATCTTAAGTGTTCGTAAGACTACACCAATGAAATCTAATTTTACCAGCACAAATGATGTTCTATTTTATGTTTCATTTTAAATTCAGTATTCCTTTTGGTACCTTTTGGACAGTACTGTCATATACCACTTGACATTTCTGGCCCACCCTAGATGCAGATGAAAGATGCTATCTGTGGATTTTTTAAATGCAGTACTAAACTACCCATTGCAAGTTTAGTCTAATTACAAAACCAAGGCAAACCTCAAGAAGTATCATGGCCCAAAAATTTAGTAATTATTCCAAAGTGATTACTAGTCATTTTCTAATTCCTTACAATGCCATTAGATTTAGTTTCCTGGTTAAAAATACTGTATCTGGGTGTCCCTGGTGATGCAAAGGGTTAAGTCTCAACACTATGAATCTATCTATCCACTGCAGCAGAGTTCAACAGAAGTTCAGTCCATGCTAGGGAGCTGACCTACCTGACACAAGAGCTCACTTCTATCTCATCCACTGCTCCCCTTAGCAGTGTACTTCTATCAGTCTGCCAGTTCTGCTCCCCACTCTGTCTCTGTTGAGAATCCTCTTGCCCCCCACACTTTGGCCTTGAATGCATAAATAAATTAAAAAGAAAAAAAACTAAAATTTCATTAAAAAAAAAAAATACATCTGGAGCCAGCTTCCAGATTTATAGCCTAGACCTCTTGTGTGACATAGATCAAATTATTCAGTTTCCCTGGCCTTAGTCTTCGTATGTCAGTAAAATGAAAACTGAGGTTCCCATGAGGATTTAAAAGATTAATACATATGAAACAGAACAGTCCTTGGCACACAGTAATTATTCAATTAATTGTTACCTCTTAAAGGAGGCAATAGCATATTACTACCCTCAAGGTTTCAATGATTCCTTAATGCTAAAAATAAGTCAAAACACTTATTTTCCCATGAAATTTTTTTTAATTTTTGGCTTTACCCACTAGTACATTTAACAGTACTGGCACATAGGATGTCTTCATTAAAAGTTTAAGTTAGATTAAACACTTTACCCCGCTAGACCCCTTGGCTATAGTGTTTCCCTTTTGCTAAATCTCAGTGAAACATTCCTAATTCTTTTGCATTTACTTCAGGTCATGCTCTCTAACCTGGGGGCTGTCTACCTACTGTAACTACTACAACCTAACACTTCCACATCTGTTCCCTCCCACCCCCATGCCTTATCTTCCCCCCATTCCTCCTCATAATTTATCTCCTATAACCCACTTTGTACTTCTCTACGTACTCTTTGCCACATATTTTATTTGTCTACATCTTTCCTGCCCCGGTTATCTATCTTTCCTCTTTATTATTAAAGTCAAAATATTTAAATACAAAACAAAACATACTGTTACTGTCAATCTTTTATTCTCCTAACCATAAGTAAAACTGCTCTGGTAAATTAATTTTAGATGATTTCTAAAATGTGTACCCTAAAATGAGAATTTAACAGACATTCGTTGCTAATGGCACTGCTTTATATACAGATTTCTGGGGACACAGCTAAATCAAAGTGGTTCTTTTACAGGTTCACTTTTATCTATTTTATGCATACAAAACTGGTATGCAGGTTAGAGGTGCCAGGGGTGAGAGGCTTCACCAGAGAGTGGGAAGCAGGACAAGCAGAACAAGAAATACATTGCTAAGGGGAGCAGCTGCAGAGACAGGAGAGGTCTGCCGCACCATGTGGATTAAATGCTCCTTGGCAGTGACCAGTGTTAAACTTGATAGTGCTGAGATTCAACCCCTTGTACCTTCAGAGAGGCCCTGTTCTTTCATTTTCTAAAAACTTTTTAATAACATGAATAAATCATATCCAACTTTGTAAATTTAATGGGTAATGTTTCACAGGGTAATTACCTTATGATGTAAAGTTAACTTGGACTCCTAGACATCGATACTAATTATTTCAAGTTATCACTACTACCCCAAAGTATCTAAGCCTATTAACCTCTGAAGAGAAGGAACTATACCAAAATAGGAAAGATATTATGAATTGAAAATAGCTGCCTCTTTAAAACTTGAACTTTTTAGATTAATTCTTAATAAATTTAAGGCTTTTTTCTCAGGTTCCAATAAATCAGAAGCTACAAAGCAGAAAGAGTACAGAAAAAGCTAGCAAAAAGATTACACAAATGATCCCTAACCAAAAAAAAAAAAAATCTAGGCTATTCTAAAAACATTATGAGAATTAAGATGTGCCTGAGGGCCCTCACTGGTGAGGCAACAGGTTAAAGCTCAGCACTATGAAGCTATCTGCAGCCACTGCAGCATGAGTTTGATCCCTGGCCAGGGAGTGACCCACATGGCATGGCAGACCTCTTCTGACCCACCCGCTGCTCCCCTCAGCAGTGTATTTCAGTAGATCTGCCTGTTCTGTGCCCCACTTTGTCTCTGAGGAATCCTCTCACTCCCTGCACCTCCAGCCTGCACAGCTCATGTATATATAAATAATAATCTTTTAAAAGAGAAAGAAAAAAGATGCACCTGAAATTTTTTGGACCACATTTCACATAAACACAACCAATGTCCATATTACATCAAAGTAATAAAGTATCTTATTTAATATGAACCAAAAAATCATACATTTTAAATATATCTCAATGGAAAGGTTTACAGTCTTCTCTCAAAATAAGTTTCGAAGATCAAGTTTTAGACACCTAGAATAAATTCACTTTCAAGAAATATTTTATTTTCTTCTAATACACAACACATGAACTTTTCTAGAGCAGAAATATATTTTGAATAGGAAATTAATTTTTAAATTATACAGTTTTTATTTTCCCTAGCATAATAAGCAGTACCTGTCAGATTTCAGAAAAAAATCAAATAAAAAAATCTATTCTTGTCCTAGTTTCTCCTAGTGTTTATTTTCCCGTATTTTTTATGTACTTGGCTCACATTTTCTCCACAATATTATAGGTCTTATCACCTTCCTGTTTAACAATGGCCTAAAACTATCAAGAGATGTGTCAAACCTTACTTACACTTATTCTTTATCATTAACATTTGTTTCATGTTGGGAGCTATCATAAATAATGTAGTGGCTTCATTTTATATGAAATTCTATAATTTTAGATTATTTGCTTGACAAAATCAACAAGCATAAAAAAAAAAAAAGACTTTTTTGGTTGCTATTCCTCAAGTTTAAATATTTATCGAATGACCTGGTAAGAGCAGGTATTGTTCTTATAATGTACTGATGAGTATGATACAAAGTTAAGTTACTCAACTAATGGAGTTGGTGAAGAAGCCTTCATATGTTAAGAAAAGGGAAGGAAAGAATATCCAAGCATGGGAAATAAAACTGTTTCCCTCCCACCCTACTCATACGCACCAACTAGTTTTTAAAATTACACTTTCCAAATATTTATGTGTGTCAAGACATTTTTTTAAACTGCAAAATTGTTTTCAGGTAGCTATACTACATTGTGTGGTGAGCAAATCATGCACTGGGCATTTCATTTTTCTACTTTTTAAAAAAAACTGATTCGGCCCTCCCTGGTGGCACAGCGGGTTAAAGCACAGCACAAAGAAGCTTAAACCACTTCCACATCAGTTCGATTCCCGCCTGCCCCGGAGGTGGTCCACATGGCGAGGCAGACCTCTCCTGACCCGCCCGTTGCTCCCCTAAGCAGTGTACTTCGTCAATCTGCCTGTTCTGCTCCCCACTCTCTCTAGTGAATCCTCTCACCCTCTGCATCTCTGACCTGTACCCCAGTTCTGTACGAATAAATAAATAAATCTTTAAAAAATATAAAATAAAATAACTGATTCATGTTTATTCTACTTAGATGGTAATCATTAGTCATGTTTGTAATAATTCCAAGTGACTGCTTTCAAGTAAAACTTTTATTTTAATAAACTGGCTCTATACAAGTTATTCTATAACTAAACCTAGAAAAAAATATTCTTGAAGAGATTAAAATATTCCATTTTAGGGCCCTCCCTATGGGTAAAGTCTAAGCACTATCACCAGAACAGCCTGGGTTCAATCCCAGGAAGCTGACACACATAGTACACAGCAGACCCTCTGTCTTGCCTGCTGCTCCCCTTAACAGTGTACTTCATTGGATCCACCTGCTCTGCTCCCCTCTATGTCTCTGGTGAATTCGCTTACCTACTGTACCTTTTAGCCTCCACCACAGTCCTTTTATGTCAAACTAAAATCTTAAAAAAAAAAATCCTTCCTAATTAAAATAATATTTTCCTTTAATTTTCTGTTAGATTTGCTAAATACATCTTCACTCATCCTAATTGGGGTTAGAGGAAGATCTAAACTGACATTCTTATTATTTAAGTATTCAAGCAACTCCCTTTCACTTGAAACATAATTCATTATTACATGGATTACCTTTTTTTAGTACCACATACTTTATTACAGCTTTCTGTACCTACCAATTACTTGTTTTAATTTTTTTCTTTGGAAGCAGGATTGGAAAAATCTCAATATATTTGTAATATTGAGCTTCCTATCAAAGAACATCATTATATCTCTCTGTAGTCAAGTCTCAAGACAGTTTCCTGATTTTCTTAGCATTAGCATATATATTCTTTCCTAAGAACAATGTTTATCTAAGCATTTTTTTGGGGGGGATTACTATTATGAACGGCTAGTGACTGCATATATATCATAGGTCAAATGCATATCTATGTCTCTGATCAAACCTTTTCATTTTGATGCTCAGATATTTTTAACATTCCAACTGATGAATCTTTCTTTCCTAGGGAGCTGTTTAATAGAGAGCCTGATTTTCTGACTACAAAGCACGAACCTGTATCCGTCTCCGTACTTCTCACTGTTTTTTTCTCTTCTGCGTCTTTGTTTCTCTCGCCGAGCCTCAATCCGTCGCTTTTCTTCTTCTTCTTTTTTAGGATCAGTTTTTGCTAGGGTTATCAGACAAAAAAGTCAAGACTAAGATTTTTTTCCATTCTTTTCTTTTAAGTCAACAGTTCATACTAAGTGCACAGACAGACACAATTTGGTGACAGAATGTAAACTGCACTTACCAAAAAATATTGAGTTTGCAATTACTCCATAATTATGAAACTTCACTGGAACATTTCATTGCGAATTTTCCCATATTTACTTCTCATATACATGATTATTTACCACATATTTTTTAACCTGCTCATTTTTCCTTAACCTTTTTTTAAGCAACAATATCCTTATCACCTAAAATATCATCTTAAATGTCACTTTGAGAAACACTAAAGTAGATTACTTTAGTAATTCACTTTACATAACAATACTTCACACCCACATGAAGCAGTCAGTCCCCAATTGCTTTCCCCAAATCCCTGGGAAAAGCCAACCTTCGCTGTTTCTATATATTCCCCCATTCTGTTGTCATGTAAATGGAATCATTGAACATACAGCCTTTTTGTCACACTTCTTTTATTTCACATAATGTTTTCAGGTTCCATCCATGTGTTATACCATGCATCAGTACCTCCTTCCTTTCCATGGATGGATAATATTCTATTGTATTGATGTACCACTTATTTGGGTTGTTATCCCATCAAGTTATCACAAATAATGACACTAAAAGTATCTGTGAACAAGCCTTTGTCTGCATACTTGTTTTCAATTCCAAGGAGTGTAACTGCAGAGTTTTATCAGTCTATGTTTAATTACATAAGGAACTACCAAACTGTTTACCAAAGCAGCTATTTTCTATTTTATATTCCCAACAGTAATATGTGAGAGTTCTCAATTCTTGACATCCTCACCTCATCTGAAATACTTTTATTATGGGGATTACAACTGAGATTTAAAAAAAAAGTACAAAATGATGTATAAATAAACTATTATATATTAAAAAATACTTTTTGGGAGGCCCTCTCTGATGGCACAACATGTTAACGCACAGCACCACGAAGCTAGCTGCAGCCACTCAGCCGAGTTCAATCCCCAGCCAGGGAGGTAACTCAGAAGGCTCAGCAGGCCTTTCCTGTCTCACGTGCTGTTCCCCTCAGCTGTACTTCATCAAACTGCATGTTCTGCTCCCCATTCTGTCTCTGGTGAATCCTCTCACCATCCCTATACCTCTAGCCTATACTCCAGTTCTATATACATAAATGTTTAAAAATACTTTTTTTGCAAATGGGCAGAAGAGCTAAAAAGACACTTCTCCAAAGAGGAAATGCAGATGGCCAACAAGCATATGAAAAAATGTTCAACATCACTCATAATAAGGGAAATGCAAATAAAAACCACAGTGAGATACCACCTCACCCCAGTGAGAATGGCACATCTTCAAACAACTAGCAACAACAAATGTTGGCAAGGATGTGGAGAAAGGAACTCTCCTGCACTGCTGGTGGGAATGCAAACTAGTACAACCACTATGGAAAAGTGTTTGGAGGTTCTTCAAACTGCTAAACATGGAGCTTCCCTATGACCCAGCAATCCCACTCCTAGGTATCTACCCAAAAGACACAAAAACACTAATTGAAAAAGATACCTGCACCCCCATGTTTATTGCTGCTTTATTTACAATTGGAAAAACATGGAAGTAGCCCAAATGCCCAAAAGTAGATGACTGGATAAAAAAGAGGTGGTACATATATACAATGGAATATTACTCAGCAACCAAAAAAGAGAAACACATGTCTTTTGCAGCAACTTGCATGGAGCTGGAAAAGATCATGCTTAGTGAGATAAGCCAGAAAGAAAAAGAATAATACCGGATGGTTTCACTCATAGCAGGAGTATAATGGACCAGGCGAGAAAATAACAAGAATAATGAACAACCATATATCAGAGACATTTTGCGGGGGTGGAGTGGGAAATGGGATCAAAAGCAGGGGGGGCGGGGAGGGAAGTGATGGCACACGGATGACTTGGTGATGGGAAACCCGTGGGGATTACAATTGAGATGGGGGAAAAAATGTACAAAATGATGTAAAAATAAACTGTTGTAAAATTAAAAACAAAAACAAAAACGGGTGGGCGGGGAGGGAAGTGCACAGGATTATGGTGATGGCACATGGGTGACTTGGTGATGGGAAACCCGTGGGGATTACAACTGAAATGGAAAAAAAAATGTACAAAATGATGTAAAAATAAACTGTTATAGAAAGTAAAAAAAAAAAAAAATACTTTTTTTGCTTGAAGAGCTTTAATGTAATTCTTATTTTATTAACCATTCTTAAAATCCTCATTCAGCTCCCCTTGAGCCCTCAATCTTATGGAAAATCCATTTACATATTATCTTAAACAACAAGCAATTTGAATTCACTTTCATATGTTACATGTTCTATCTCCAGTCAAATGATAGAAAGATTCCTCTTCCTACTGATTTCTGACAAATCTCAATCTACACTTTAGCATAGTAAAACCTCTTATTTCTGAATATTCAGCAGGTACTTCTCAAAATGCCTACTTCACACTTACTACAAAAGCCCGATTTAACCAAAAAACTTTGGTTTTATTCTCACCTTACTCTCAAATTCTGTCAAACAGGAAATAAGGCTGAGTCACATATAGCTACTTTAATGGCAAATCAACATATGTATCAAACTTTAAAATATTTAACTATATCTACAAAGTCTTATCTTTTAAATTTGCTCTAAGAGAATCACCTGAATTGTCTGTTCCAGTAATATACAGAGTACACAATTTGGTAAGTAACAATCGATCCGTTAACACAGCTTAAAAGATATCACCACAACACACACACACTAATTCAGCACCAGGTTTCTAGAATTCCAGAACACTGTCATTCTTTTAACTAAGTAATACAGACGATCAACTATAAAGCATGGCAGGAAAGTAGATGAAAGAAGATATCGGCATGTTTAAACATTACTTAACAAAAAAAAAATTTCCCCAATTAATAAAACAGCCATGACAAGGTCATAAAAACAATTATACTTCTCAGAATATTCACTCATTATGTCATGTTTGATCCTCATAACTTGGTGAAATATTTTTTCCAACTAAACGTAATTTCACCATCCATAGGGACCTTCAAGATTTTAACGACTTAGTGGTAAAGCAAGACAAGAACACCACTCCAAATTGATCTTATCTGTTCAATGAAAATAGTTACCATGAAGTTGCAGGCATCCCTTATGTCTGATGAATTTATTGATCTTAAAAAATATGGTTAAAGGCCCTCCCTGGTGGCGCAGCGGGTTGGAGCACAGCACTGGGAATTTAAAGCCGCTTCCGCATGAGTTCGATCCCCGCCTGCCCCGGAGGTGACCACATGGCGTGGCAGACCTCTCCTGACCCGCCCCGCCCGCTGCTCCCCTCAGTAGTGGACTTTGTTGATCTGCCTGTTCTGTTTCCCACTCTGTCTCTGGTGAA